CTTTTTCAATGCTTGCTTTTAATGTAATTGCTTGGTGTATTAAACCTTGTTTACAGTGTTCGGTTAATTTAAAATATTGACTTAAGTATCTGCTTGTATAGCTCTGCTCTGTAATGCAGAAAACTATACATCTAAATGGACTTTTCTGCTTTAGATCTTCCTTTAGGAGACCCTTAGAGAGATGATCTCTTCCATATCAATACCTAATTTCTAGCCTCTTGCATGATGGTAATGATACATGGCTTCTTTTATACAAGGCAATAAATGGCTTCACTTACGTAATAATTTAGAGGCAGCATGGCTCATTATAGTGGGGATGGAGCTAAGATCAAGAAGAAGAAAAAACACCCTGAAATGTTGATTTGCCTGCCTCTGTTATTCAGTATCTTGACCCAATATTTGTAGGTCTTACATTAATGGAACTCCATGTTATTTTCCAGAATCTTGAAGTAAAAGATTGATCATGAGTTTTGGATTTTTCTTCAATCCAGAGTCCTCATTTCCAAACAAACAAAAAAGTGTCAATGAATAATAAATAATCTAGGCTTAGGAAATATTCAAATATTTGGTTTAAGGGGTAGAAAGTCTAGATAAATAAGAAAATGTTACTTTAGTGTCAAGACTGTGTATGAGAAGTAAAAAGTAGAAATCTGGTAACATTAGAAACTGGGAATCTAATGCAGTTTGACATCACTCTAATTCTCACAGTTCAGTGCTATGGAATCATTGGAGTTGTAGTTATACAAGTATACAACAGGACAGCAGAAATGTATGTGTTTCTATACAAAGACCTGGATCATATTGGTGACCCAATTACCAGTGTGTTCCTTCAAGTTGATTATGACCGATGACCATATGTTACAGTTTTTTTTGGCAGGATTTCTTCAGAGTGGTTTGCCATTGCTTTCTTCTCAGGCTTTGTCTACACTGGCAGGTTAATCCAGGGCAGTAGAGGCCACATGCACCATCCTGAGCCTATGCAAGCAGCAGGTTGGAGTCCAGATAGTCTAGCTTCACCAAGATTCCCTGCTGGAAATCATCATCTGTGTCATTGTCACCACTCTCACATGGCCACAGAGCTCCAAGAGAATTCTTGGCCTTTGCAGGCATCTCCTGCTGATTTGTGAACAGTGATTCCATATCCTTTTTCCTGCTTATACAGATACTTCTGTTGATGTCAAATGAGGCACCCTTGACAGACAAGAACTCTCACATAGCTCTGTGCCCACCTGGGAGCAATCACAGCATCATGGGCCTGGTGAGTACAGGGGAAGGTACAGTGGTGGCCGATGTGGACAGTTGACTGGTTCAAATTAAACTTGTTCCAGCTGTCCACATTGAACCTAAACTATGGAGTTACTCCAGAATTTCAGATAAACTTTGGAGCCTCCCTTGCTTTTACTTAATGCAGGGCTATCCTGCAATACCCACTGGAAGTTCAGAGACATTGTGGGGGCAGCCAAGATCCAATGGACAGCAAGTATGGGTTATTAGACCTGTGCAGGCAAGCCTTAATGCTGAATTAGATTCACAGCCTGGTCTCCCAGAGTCCTAGTCTCCTCAGTAGACCAACGGGGTTAATTGTTGAATGGTCAGTATGTAGATAAATCCTATTAGTCCAGATAGTTCATTGTAATCGGGACTTATGCTTTGGATCCATCCAACCTATCTTTAAGACTGCATCTCCTTCTACAAACCAGCGTGGGCTTTAAGATCTGGGGAGGCACTTCGATCGGTCCCACCACCGTCTCAAGCACGGTTGGTGGGGACAAGAGAGAGGGCCTTCTTGGTGGTGGCTCCCTGGCTCCCTAAAGAAATTAAATTAGCTCCCTCTCTTCAGGCCTTCTGGGTGAGTCAAAAGATGGCTCTTCAGTCAGGTCTTTGATCTATGGCCAATGTGATGAATCATTTATAGTACTAGCCTGCACTTTGATTGATTCTTGTGACAGATAGCTGGCCCGCAGGTTCCACTGTGTTTTAAGAATTTTACAATTTTCATATTTTTATTGTTGTCTGCATGTGTCACATGGAGTGCTTCTGTGAGCTGCCCTGAGTCCCTTTGGGGGGATGGTGGCAGGGTACAAATAAAGATTTTTTATTATTATTATTATTATTATTATTATTATTATTATTATTATTTTCTAATGAAGAACTCAACATAGTCTGAATGTTGTAGCTAGATATTGTTGCAATAAAAGATGATTTGTTGTGAGTCAACATCCAATGTGCCATGAGTTTATAGGAAGACCCATACTATGGCCACATGTTCAGTTATTTGGGTCCTGTAGTGTTTCCCGTACACATTGCTGCTTCATCAATCCATCAATTGTTTCTCAGGCTTTAAATCTAAGTGTGTGAGAGTTTTAAGCTCATGTTTATTGAAATAGCCCAGTGTTGACTGAATGTAATCAATAATTTCAGAAAATAAATTAAGGTGTGACAATGCAGTAACCTTCTTTCTTTTAATCTGGATAATGAAGAAGGTGACAAAGAGCAGTCAAAGACGTACATTCTGAAGGCTTGAGTTTTTAACTAATTAAAGCTCTGCTGGGGTGAAAAATTGGCTCACCCCTTAGAACAATGACAAGATTGGTTGAAGGTCAGTTTGTATTCAAGAATCAACCACGGGTTTTCTTTTATGTTTTACGACAATGAACTATTCATTAATTATGAATATGAACTTATTCACTCAACTGGATTGTTTGTAAATAATCAGAAGCAGTTGTTTCCTGAGTCACATCAAGTTAAAGAACCTTGTTCATTCAGAATGGGTAAAGAAATAGAATAAGCATATCAGGCAATATTCTTTAGCTATGATTAATAAGTTGCTCTGCGTTGCTTTTAAGAGTTCTTTTCTGTTATTCTGGCTTCTTTCTATCAATTTATTTAAAATCTCCTGGAGACAACATATGGCCATATGGGATACATATTTCTAAACCTACTAATTATACACGTGATATAACCTCTCAGTTAATCTGATAGTGATAGAGCTTGAAAGAACTACTTACCGTGTATACTCAATTATAAGCCAAGTTTCTCAGCCCCTTTTTAGGTTGAAAAAGCTCTCCTTGGCTTATACTCAAGTCAAGGTTATTTATTATTGTACTCTGTTGTTATTATTATTATTATTATTATTATTAGTAGTAGTAGTAGTAGTAGTATTAAATGTATTATTTTACTCTTTTATTTTATTATTACATTTACATTATTTTACTCTATTATTATTATTACATTTATAATTTTATGTATTTATTATTGTTATTGTTACATTTATTATTTTACTCTATTTATTATTATTATTACATTCATTATTTTACTCTATTATTATATTTATCATTTTTATGTATTTATTGTTATTATTACATTTATAATTTTACTCTATTTATTATTGTTATTACATTTATAATTTCACTCTCTTTATTACTATTGGAATGATATGTAAGCACATTTGCACTGAAGAAGGTTAGAATAATGGTTTAATCAGAGTTGGACAGTCTTATCTTAAATTAAAGTTTTGTGTAAATTTTCAAAAACATTTAACCTACTGATGCCTCAATTAATGCAATTTTATTGGTATCTATTTTTATTTTGAAATTCACCAGTGGCTGCTGCATTTCCCACCCTTGGCTTATACTTGAGTTAATACATTTTCCCAGTTTTTTGTGGGAAAATTAGGTGCCTCAGCTTATTCTCGAGTATATACAATATTTGGATTTCAAACCCCTAAATCTCCCAGTGGCCATGCTGGATGGGAAACTGGGAGAATTGTAGTCCAAAAATGTATACCACAAGAAGAATGCCAATTCAGAAGGTTAACCCAATCCATTATTTAAATATGGCCATAATTCAGTATTAAGCAACAAAGCCAAACAAACAGTTGACCACTCCAAGTCTTAAATTTATTTCAGATTTGCTGAAATAAATTTAAGGTCATCTTAACTATTAATAGCATAATATTGGAAAAAGCTAAAAGTGTCATTTTTTAAGAAATGGGAAAATAACATTTGGCATTGAATTTCATTTTATAAGAAGCTTTAAGGAGACCAAATTCTGATGAGTCTCTAAAATGGAAGGATAAATTTATCAATTTTTGGAAGATAACTTATAATAATATTAATCATCTCCCTGGGCATTACTAGATCCTGAAGCACAACTGGAGGATGCATACCATAGAATGGCCTGGAAGGCATAGAAAATGCCAGAACAGCACATATTTTGTAGATAAGGATAAACTAAACTATGAGTTTCAGGTCTATGGATCTGAGGATGATACTGTAATTGGCAATGTTTAGGCTTAAAATGTACTTGATGAGAGGGCTTGGTGTGCCACGCAGTTCCCAGTTCATCCTAGAGCAGTGTTTCTCAACCTGGGGGTCGGTACCCCTAGGGGGGGATCGCAAGGGGTGTCAGACCATCAGAAAACACAGTATTTTCTCTTGGTCATGGGGGTTCTGTGTGGGAAGTTCAGCCCAATTCTGTCGTTGGTGGGGTTCAGAATGCTATTTGGTTGCAGGTGAAGTATAAATCCCAGCAACTACAACTCCCAAATGTCAAGGTTTGTTTTCCCCAAACTCTGCCAGTGTTCACATTTGGGCATATTGAATATCCATGCCATGTTTGGTCCAGATGTATCATTGTTTGAGTCTACAGTGCTCTCTGGATTTAAGTGAACTACAACTTCAAAATTCAAGGTCAATGCCCACTAAACTCTTCCAGTATTTTCTGTTGGTCTTGTGAGTTCTGTCTTCCAATTTTGGTTCAATCCCCCCCCCCCCATAACCCCACCAGTATTTAAATTTGGGTGTATTGGGTATTTGTGCCAAATTTGGCCCAGTGAAAGAACATACGTCCTGCATATCAGATATTTACATTACGATTCATAACAGTAGCAAAATTACAGTTATGAAGTAGCAACAAAATAATTTTATGGTTGGGGGTCACCACAACATGAGGAACTGTATTAAGGAGTCACGGCATTAGGAAGGTTGAAAACCACTGACCTAGAGCATTCTCAGGTTTTTCTGGGTAGGTGCAGCTCACAACACTCGGGATTCCAACAGTTTTAGTCTCTTCCAGAGGCTTTAGGATGGCTTGCAGAGATTCCTGGGTATAACCCTTAACTGAAGTGTAGGACTCAACTGTAAAACAAAGAAGATTCTGTCTATCCCTGCAATACAGACTCAACGTTCCCATTCTTTCCGTAGACATCAGTATAAAAGTTGGGGATAGTGTTTTAATTAAAGCATAAGAGAATAACTGAAATTGTGATGTTTAAAATGTTGATTGTTTTTGTCAACCTAAGACAATCAAAAGGTTAACTACCACAGATGCCAGTATAATAACTAGGTAGGTTGGGGCCCACCCTTCAAAATAACTAGGTAGATCAGCTATGCCCTCAATTCCACAATAGCATTCATTAGAAGAAACTCACTGAGTGCTCTGCTTTACTAAAAGCATCAGTATGAATATTTGACTTTCAAAATATTTCATGTACGTCATCTCAGCTAAAGTCTTCTGTCTGTGTGCTGCAGTCAATTTCAGAACAGGATTTCCTATTCCTTTGCAATAACCAGATTAAAATAAATGTCAGTCATGATTTAAAAATACAAGAAAATAAAGAGTGGATGTCTCTGGCCTTCCTGTCACAAGGAGCCCCTGGTTCCACCTTCACTGGTTTTCTCAACCTAAGCTTCATGAATATATATATATATATTATATATATATATATATATATATATATTGTGCGAAAGCTTTAGAAATCAGTGGCTGGGTGTCATGGGTGTGGACAGGCATAATCAGTGAAAATAATAGAAATACAGAAATTCCTCAGGAAAAAATGCATGGATGTTTTTAAAACTGAATCCTGGTATTCGTAGTTTGGTGAGGCAGAGAATGCTAAAGACCTTGTAAAACTACAGCTCTCATGAGCCATGGCTGTTAAAGTTGTATCCAACTGTATTAATTCCCCCAAGTGGCGCAATGTCTTAAACTTTTGTGCTGGCAGGACTGCTGACCAATAGGTCAGCGTGTCGAATCCAGGGAGAGCAGGTTGAGCTCCCTCTGTCATTTCCAACTCCACATGCAGTGAAATGAGAGAAGCCTCCCACAAGGATGGTAAAACATAAACATCCCCTGGGCAACGTCCTTGCAGACAGCCAGTTCTCTCACCCCAGAAGTGACTTGCAGTTCTCAAGTTGCGCCTGCCATGAAAAACAAAACAGTGTAGGTGCACTGTGCTGGTACGACTGTACCAGGAGCTCCAAATTTATTTTCTTTCTGTTATCTGTTTGCAGCCATAGGGCAGGCCTCTTGTCCATCATAATTAAGCTTTGGTTCTGCCCCTTGTTCAGGACTCTGGGAGGGAAAGGAACCATTTTTTGGGCAGTCTCACATAAGGAAGCTAAACTATAGGACGTAGACCAGTTCGTCCCGTAGAAAAGCTTCTTTTCTCAAGAACATCCGGGGAAACAGAAACAGAAATTCCAGGGGAAAGGTCCCAAGGCTCTGGCTGAGAGCTGACAGCCTCTCAGCTTCACAGCAATCAGAGGGAAAACAACCCTGAGGTTTTCAAAGAATTCTGAGGGAGGACAGCACTACAGATCCACGGAACTCCATCTGAAATATCTACAAGCCTCGGCTGGTAGGTCTACTCGATACCCAGACGCATTTGGAATCGGTAATAGGACCCACACCGATGAGGCATAGATAGTAAACAGCCTGGGAGAGGTTAAATAGGGTTTTCTCCTACAGAGAAAGTACAGTTAATCAAAGTCAGGTACCAGTCCATTGAGGACTAGACTAAGAAAGCCTTGAAATGTTGTTTGAACCATTGAAGATTTGTTGTTTGTTCCATAATAAAGACTTTATTGTATCATTAGAGACTCTAAAGACCATTACTTCAGAAAAATCCCTGAGAACCTCTCTTTGAGGCGCCCTGGCTTCCCACTGGGTTTTAAGTATATGTCCTATAGAAAAGACAGCTGTTACCGGCCCAGCGTGCAACAGAACATGCACCCTTTCTTAAAGTGGATACAATGCCTGCAAAACCAATAGCAAGCAATGACCAGTAAACTTTAGTTACACATTCCATAATGGTTGCTGGATTCCATGCCAGTAAGCAATGAATCTGCTCTGGGCTTAGCCCAGCCCTTCAAAGTACACACTTCAAAATCCCTATGCAAGGTGCTGAACCCAAATACATTCAATACTTTGGGGAGCTCATTCAAAGGTTGGAATAAAACCCAGAACAGATTTGGTTCATGGAACCTACCAGCTGCCAATGGATAAATCCTCCTTCATGAGTGGATAGCTGGCCTACATTTTCATTGTGTGATCATGCACAAGGCAGAAATGTTAATTTTTGGATTGCAGTTACCAAAGTCCCTTAGCTACCATAGTCAGTGTCAATACTCGGTTGATTTTTGAGAGCTGCCAGGCTGTTCGTGGGATGAAACATTGCCTTCACTTTTCCAGATGTGCTGGCCTGAATGCTCTGTTTTCAAGTTCAAAGTCAAAGTGTTGTTTTGGACTCCTAAGGCTTTTGAGAATTGGGCCAGTGTGCCTGAAGAACTACTTGTTTATCCATGTTCCAGGGGTTCTAAGAGCAGTGGTTCAAAAACTAACTCTTGCACATTTTGAATCAGTGTAAATCAAGAGCAAATCTGTATTTTGTCTCCATTGGAGATGAGACCTGAGTGCTTCAATGCAAGCCCATACTATGTTTGTCAATCAAAAAATTCATTTTGTGATATTCACAGGCATCTTGACTAATTGCTGTTGGTGAACAAATCTATTCTTATTTGTGTTTCAAACCCTGCTACAGTACTATTGTGTTTTTTCCCCTCAAATCAAGAGCACAAGGTGATAATTCTGACTGCATCAGTTCTCTTCTGAGTATTTTAAAATGGCTTTTAAAATGTAGGTCAAATGTTGTATTTCCCCGATATGCAATCATTATCACTATTGTATTCTCTACCCTGATGGAGAGATTCCATAATTTATTGATCTGTATTACTCCAAATATTTAATAATTCGTATTTATTTATCATACCAGTATTTTACAGTTCCAGTAAAATAATAGGATCTGATCAAGAGCAAGTGACATGCAGAAAAGGACACCAAAAATGATCAAGGAACTGCTGCAAATCCACAGTGAGAAAAGATTTAAACACTCTGGATTGCTTATCTTAGGAGGGGGAAAGGAAAGGAAGGAATCGTGTTATATGCTGAGACCAGGTGTATCAAATGAGGCATCTGCATTAGAGCAAATCCCAGTGATCTTATCTCCAAAAGAGTGGGCAAGTTTTTCACAGCGTGCTGTTGCACTGATGGCATTCTCTTTTGGGCCAGGTTGTATTGGACCCTAATCACCTGAAACAACTCTGCTGGTCACTTTTGTGCTGCAGTAATAGTGTTGGTATAAAATCCTCTTTTTTGCTGCTTTTATTGCCCCACCATACCTTCAGATAGGTTTTTTGCCTGTTTCCAATTGGAATCGCTCTGGGTTCCCTGCCATTGTTGCTCTAGTCCCCATCTAATATCAACAATTATTCTCCCCTCCAGTAGAAACTGAAATTTATATGAAGACACTTTAAGGATAAATCATGTGTAAGTGTCACTAGCCAAGACATCTGGGTACCTGCCATCAGTCTGCTATCAGATGATTACATTAACTATCATATATCAATAACCCTGCTTTAGCACTGCAGTTTGGTCATTAAAGACTGGTCATCTGTTTACACTTTCTCTCTCAGACTATTTTCTCATCATTATTTTGTTTTAAATTAGATTGACTTCATGCCCAGAACTTGCTGGAATCTGCACTCTTTAAAAATATTATCTGACAACAAACATCGTATTTTTTTTACTTTACACAGACACACTTGTTTCCATAATATTCAGGCTTTGGGGACTTAAATTTGGAAGAATATAAACCAAATTAATAGTCTGTGATTGCAGCTCTAGCTATATAAACAGAAGTATAGTGTTCAGAACAAGGGAAATAATCGCACATGTTATTCTGATTTGGTCAGACCTCGTCTGGAGTACAACATGCCTGGTTCTGGGCTTCATAGTTTCAGAAAGGTATCAATGTGCTTGAAGCATTTCCAAAGAATGATTTTCATGATAGTCAGGAGTCTATGAGGAATTGCTGAGGAGGCTGGACAAGATTAGCATAAAAAAGAGAGATGATATGATAGCCATCTATAAATATCTGAAGGACTGTCAGGTAGAAGACAATACAAACTTGTTTTCTCCTGCTTCATAGAATAAGATCCAAACTAGTGGATTCAACTTAAAGAAAAGAGATTTCAAATAAACATTACAAAAAATGTCCTAATTGTAAGAGCTGCCTAACAGTCAAATAGATTACCATAGAAGGTGGTACACTGTCATTTGGTAATGGTTTTCAAATTGAGACTGAATGACTACCTCTCAGGGATGCTTTAGATGTGGATTCCTGCATTGGCTGGGTTTTCGACTAGTTGGCCCTTAATATCTTATTAAGGTTTACATTAGAAGTATATAAAACTTACTCAATGGATGGGGAAAAGGAGCAAAGTGTCTCTCTTTTACAAATAATATATTTAGAAACCTGGATCACTTATTATAGTGGAATGATGGGAGATTCAGGTCAAAGTAAAGGAAGCACTTCTTCAGATAATACACAGTTAATGTAGTGATGGCCACTAGCTAAGGTGGTTTTTAAAATACACCAAAGAAACTTGTGGAAGATAAGGCTATCAATGTTCCTCAGTACAAGTTGCTGATGAACACATGTGAAATGGTACTATTTGACTCAATTTTGCTTATGGACTTTCCATAGTACACTGAGTGGCTGCTATTGGAACAGGATTTCCTACAGTGTCCACTCAGGCTGTTTCCAGACAGGGAAGAAGTCTGCACTTACCCAGGTATAAAAAACCAGAGTCAGGGAGGCCTTCTGTCTCCACACTGGCCTGAAAGGCTGCTTGTTTGGTGCTGGGTGTCCAGATGTACTCCAGGAACCTTCCAGGAGAACACCCATACACCGCAACCCCCTCCCCAAAACCTCTTTAAAAAAGAAAATAACTTACCTGGCCACCATTACCATTGTGCCAGAATCCACCTGGAGCATAGAAATGATTGAGCCAGAAAA